ACAGCAGACCTCTATGGGGCTAGCCATCCCCACACTTGAAGTAGTCCTTCCCCACCCCAGGCCAAGTGACATATTTATCTCATATTTATCTCATCTGTTTTTAAGCTTGTGAGCTGGTCTTTGGTAAACCTTTCCTCTTTGACACAGCCCCCATGTTCCTTATCTGTGGAATGGGAATAATAATAATGACTTGCTGTAATGTATAAGTAGGCAATAGAACCCCACTGTTCTAGCCTGTGTGTCAGCCCTCGTGCCAGATGACAAACTGCCAGTCCAGGCCTATAAATCAACATATTTTTGAGAGAGAGGTACTTTTAGCACGTAACAAAAAAGAGATTGTCCTTATCCCTTCCCTTTCCAGAGCTTTTGTTCTTTTGGAAATTATTGTCAGAACTTTGAGGGAAAAGGAGCAAGAAAGTATAAGGTGTTGTGGGAAGAAAGAGAAAGAGAGAACTGAGATTCCCCTCCAACCTCTGATTAAAGAGTTTCCAAGATAACTGATATTCATTCATTCATTCATTCATTCATTCATTCATTCATTCATTCTTAATAAGCTGCTTCAACCATGGACTAATTAGTAGGCTGGAATTTTCAAGTACAGTAAAAACATTAAAACAAACACAAAATAACAATTCTCTCATATCAGTTTCAGCAAGCTGAAATCCATACCAACCCCAAGAAGAAGGGCTCAAGTCACATCATTCCCCTGAGGCCTCTTGGACAGCTAGGTCCTAACAGCTTTCCTCAACCCCAACAGGATTGGTTCAAGTTTAATCTTGGGAGTATGTTGTTCCAAAGAAGGGAGGCCACAATGGAGAAAGCCTGTCTCTGCAGACCCTGGTGTCAACACTCTTTTGGCATAGGGATCCAGAGGGACTCCTCCCAGATCTTATTGGATAGGCAGATATTAGAGGGAATGGGGTCTTGAAGATGCCAAGGTCTTAAGTCATGCATGGCTTTAAAAGGGATGACCAGCATCTTGAATTACACCCAGAATTCAACCAATAACCATGTAGCTTATAGGGGAGTATGGAGATGCCTTGAGAAAGGAATTCAACAGCCCTTCTGTAAGCATCAGCTTAGCCTAAATAGGCAGGAGGGGGTAAGGAAGATAGATTTGCCTTGATTCTTTTTAGTATATGAGATAACCTCTCAGGCTTTCAAGTTTTTGTTATTATATCCCATAACAATGAAATAAAGTTCCAATAGTTCTTCTGTTCTCTATTTCCTGACCTTGTCTACCTTGAAGGGTTGACATGGACATAGCTCTTGCAGTAGCGATGTAACTTAGATGTAATGATCTGCACCTGTAACCTCAGAAGCTGCTGCATTCTGGACCAGCTGTAGCTTTTGGATGGTCTTCAACAGCAGCCCCATATAAAGCACATTCCATTAGTAACCAAGAGATGGGACCATAGGATACTGTGATAAGAACTCCCTGATCCAGGAATGGTTGTAATTGTGCACTAAATCAAGTTCAGCAAAAGCCACCTTGGCCACAACTGCCACCTACTCCCTTTTAATTTCTATATAACAGCTGTATCTAAGAGTGAATTTTATTCAGTATTAGACTGTTTTCTAGAAGAACAGGAAACAAAGTTCAGTGTGCCAAGTTTAATTTCTGGATCTGTTAGTTTATGCTTTATCTTTGGTACCTATTGTCTCTAAACAGGCTCAGTCATCGTGCATCTTATGTGTAATGTAGAGCCATTTTCCATTACAGTTGCCCCTCAACTAGGAAGAGAACAGCATTATCTTATCGTTGGCCAGAACATTATGTTTTCCTGTATATTTTTTTACAGATGGACATTTTTTAAAGATGTTGCCTGTGATTGTAAAAGCTCTATATTTTTATCTCTTCCACCATTGAACATTTCACAGGAAACTGCTTACTGTACAGTTAAAAAAAGACATTTTATCTTTTCCTTTTTGAGGTAAAGATTGATTCTATTTAAATCCTGTGTGATTGATTTATCTCCTAAAGGTGAGGGCTGATAGTCACATGCCTCAGTACACAGGGCTAGGATGTGGTGCTATAATATCATTTGCTTTTTCTTTCTTTCTTTTTAATTAGGGAGTAACCCAGAATGTGGATATTCTATCTCTCTCCCTTACTTTTCCCTATATATAGAACAATTTGTATATAAATTTAAAACAATTATTGGCTTGTAATGGCACTTTATCAAAACAGAAATATTTAGAGAAAACATACACTTAACTTTGAAAGGGATGCATTTAGTACCTCAAATATTTGTTCTGGTTTTTAGCCAAAAGTAAGTATCTTTAATTTCATTTAGTTTCTTGAAGTTGTGTTGTCCATTTGAAGAAATATTATATAAGAAGTATGTGATTAGCTCTAAAAAGTAATGTATCTTTTCAGTTAGCAAATTATAATAGCATTTATTCCTGAAGATCTTAAAGAGCACAAGTATGGTTGGACACGTAAAGTTTGGCTGCTTGACAAATTATATGGAACATTATAGTTCCGTGAGCATTATGTAAGCAAAGAAAACTTTTTCAAGGAACAGTAGACTCCAATCCAAAGAATGATAGGCAGTGGTCTGCACCCATGACAAAACATTAACTGCTGCTTCCCTTCCCATATAGTCAATACATGCCCATCCCTGCTTGTTCATGAGTCAGGGAGGAACAAGGATTTGATAGAAATTATGAAATCTCCTCTTCCTTAATACAAAAGAGAAAAGGCTCTTTGTGTCATTGCCATGCCTGAAAGTAGGGTTTTTTTTGGGGGGGGGGTGCCTTTGAGTCAGTCTTGACTCCTGACAACTGCCTGGACAAGTCCTGTGGTTTTCTTGGCAACATTTTGGAAGTGGTTTGCCATTGCCTTCTTCCTAGGGCTGATAGGGCTAGTGACTGGCTCAGAGGCAACCATTTGGCTCTGTGCCTAAGGCAGGACTAAAACTCACGGTCTCCTGCTTTCTAGCCTGATGCCTAAACCACTACACCAAACTGGCTCTCCGTTGAAAGAAGTATAATGCTTACATTTTCTGTACAATCAAATGAATATTCCTAATGCTCTGAGCAGAAGCAGATATTTGATTATTCTCTGTGACCCTTTTGGGATGCCTTAACCAAATGTTCCACATAGCCTGTACTCTAGTACTGTTTCACACAAGGGTTCCCCTCGTGTGCATTTTAGTATAGCAGAATGCAATGCATCAAGAAACTGCTTTAAACTATTACAGCAGGGATTTCCCATTATTAATCTGAGGCTATACCATGTAAAGTATCTTGTTTTTAAATGTGTAAGGATACAATTTTTTAATATAACTTATAGCAGTTCTTATATTACATGCAAACCAAGGTTTTTACGTCCTGAGATTACTAAAAACACATCTCTGTATATGATGGAGAAAAATCAAGCAGCATCTGTGAGAGCTTAAATTTAATAACTGAAACTATTATCACTAATATATTTTATTTGTTTAGGAATGAGATGTACTGAGATCAGTATACTATTCTAGGAATGGAATTACCCTCTCTTTAAAACCTTGAATTAATGTGTGTTCTATGTATTAATGTAAATCCTGTGGATCAATTCATAAATGGAGAAAAAAGTTTATTTCCTCTGAAATTTGCATCTTGGGAAACATAAAAATGAGATTGTATGCCAAGCTGGTTACTTGCAAATCAGAAAAAGGAAATCTGGAAAATGAATTTCCTATCTTCTTCTTTTGCAAACTCTGATCTTTTCACTTTACAGGGGATATTCGGAAATATTTTTAAGAAAAAAAAATAGGTCTGAAGATGTTAAGAAAATTGGTAGAGCTACCTCTAGAGAAAATATAAGCATTTTTTTTAAAGTTTAGGATTCTAATGTCCTCCCATTTTTTTTTTAACTAATAAAATGAAAGTTTATTCTTGGAGATAGTATGTAACCAGGCTAATGTGCATTTCACATATTACTGCAACACACTATGCATAGGGCTGCCCTAAAGACTATCCAGAAGTTTCAACTGGTCCAGACTGCAGTGGTATGCCCATGTAACTCCTCTGGTTTGCAAGCTGCACTGGTTGCCAGTTTGCTTCTGAACCCAATGTAAGGTTCTGGTTGTTACCTATAAAGCCCTATGTGGCATAGGGCCTGGTTACTTGAGAGACGGGCTGTCTCCCATAGCATCTACCTGACCATTTCAATCTTGCAGGGTTGGTATGCCCTGGGTTCCTTCGATTAAACAATGTTGCATATTGGGACTCTGGAAGTGCACCTTCTCTGTAGCGCATCTGCTGTCTGGAATGAGTTTTCCCCTGAAATCTGGATGGCCCCCATTCTGCTGTTGTTTAGAACAGCAGTGAAGATCTGGCTCTTCACCCAAGCCTTTGGAAACGAAGAGTGGGACCGCTTGCTTCATTCCATCTGCTCTGTTGTACTTGCTATCTTTTATCTTTTATTGATTTTACTTTATTTTTCTGTTTGTTTGATTGATTGTTGTGAGCTGCCTAGAGTTGTTACGAGTTGGGCCGTATACAAGTTTTATTTATTTGTTTGTTTGTTTACATTATTATTATTATTTTGAGGACTGTGGCATCATTTTAGTGTTTGCCTATAAGGTGGAAAAAGAGTTAACATCTGAGCAGTAGCAAATGTGATAGGAGGAGAGGAATATGACCTAAATTCTTCCTCGAGGGATAAATGTGAAGGAACTTCTCAACAATTATAATGTTTGCTATTCATTGCATATTGCCTGAAATAATTATCTTGAATTATTAGTAGTATAATTACCACTCAGAGAACCACAGATAAGCAGCATTCTCATAATGTTCCCAGAATTGATAATCTAATCCCCTGCCTTATTGTCTTTTCTGTTATGACAGTCAAACCCAGAAACGATTCATTACTTGATAGTCCAGATATTACTGATACAATTCCAAGCAGAAAGAGAAGACAACGGAACTCAAAAATTGGAAATAACAAACCGAAGGTGACATTAGAAGAAGCCCAAAGTACTTCAAAAGAAAAGTAAGATTTTTAATATATATATATGAGGGGTAGATTTATAGTGCAAAAATCTATGCATTATACCTAAATACAAGCTTCACTTTTTAAAATTAGCATTACAAGTGAGGTACAAAACCATATAAGCTTATTTATTTCTTTTTATTTTGACTTGCCGAAGCTACATTATAAAAATAAAATGTATATAAACTTTTGTAGATAACAAATTAAATCCTAATAACCTGCTTAAACTCAGTTATCTTATGCCATTTGGCTAAAGAAAAAACAAATCTTTGTAATCTTTAGGTCATTTGTAAATCCTTAAACCAGAAAGAAAGGTTATTTCTTAAAATGATAGTAGTAGTAATAGTGTATAATAAATTCAATGGGGACTTATCTGTTTGTTTAATCAGTGATGTCATCAGGTTGCACCGGAAGTGACATCATCAGGTTGTGCCGGATATGACGTGCATAACCCTAACCCTCCCTCGGATATGACCTGCATAACCCTCCTTCCCATGTGATGCAGCACTCACAAGGTCATAACCCTAACCGGACATGACGTGTTGAACCTAACCCCATCATCAAGAAAGGTGTGACGGTCAACCCTGGGGTGTCTGATTAGCTAACCCCAAACCTAATTCTATGGGCGTTCAAATCAAATCAAAATAAGGTGTCGGGCCTAGCCCAAGGAACTCCAGGAGACCATGCAGAATCAATCCAGCAAGATTTATTAGCTACAACCCCTTAACA